GGGATTTACATAGTGGAAATATACTACTAAATAGCTTAAAAAGTGCATACATTGCAGATTTAGGACTTTCAATAACTGCTAATATTGCATTAAAATCAAATTCTGATAGTGTTTGTGGAGTCTTACCATATATTGCTCCTGAAGTTTTAGAGAAACGACTATATACTAAAGCATCTGATATTTATTCATTTAGTATAATCATGTGGGAAATTTTATATGGAAAATCAATATCTTACAAGCAAAAGCTTGCCATGTCTCAACTGTGCTTTTCAGTGGTTGTCAAGATTTAAGACCTGTTGTTAATCAAGAAGCACCACAATGTTATGTAAATCTGATGAAAAAATGTTGGGATAAAGATCCAGTGAAACGTCCATCGGTAAAAGATCTTTGTGAAAATTTTGAGAAATGGCAATGTGATGAAAGCATTTTGTTAGAATTAAATGAGTCCAAAATAGTACTTGAGAATATTGAAGAATCGAACTATGAGAATATGTTCAAAGGTGGAAGCAAATTCATCGAAACACATAAGATTACAGAAAAGTTATCTAAAATAACTTTATTCAGTAAAGAAATTGAACTTCTAGTTGTTCCTTATGACTATTGATTTTTTAAAACTGATTTTGTGCATACAATTTTTTATAATAAATTTTTTGTAGTATTATTTACACATTGTATCAAATTATTATTTTTTATTTAATTGTTTGTGTGATTAATGTAAGCTATTTGAATAATATCCAAAACTTTCTTAGGCTTCAGTTATAATTATGCTTCTTCCGATGGAATCAAAATGTTAGCAGAAGCACTTCATAAAAGTGCAGTTTTATAATTCTTAAATCTTAGTGGCAATCCTTATCTTTTTGAAGATTTGCAAAAATATAGTCTTAAATAATTTAGGCTTTTATAATAACGATTTAACTATTGAAAAAGAACAAGTATTAGCAGAGGTTTCTATGCAAAATGCCACTTTAGCTTTTTGAATCTTAGTTTTAAATTCCTTAATTATAAAGAGGTAAAATTATTAGTAGAAGCTCTTAACTGAGTTTTGCTAAAAGAAAACCTGAAAATTTAAATATGGCTTATATTTAAATTTTCAGTTTTCTTTTAGCGACACTCAACTAATTTAAATATTTATGGCAGTGAGATTGATTCTAAAGAATGCAAGACATTAGCAAAAATCCTTTACAAAAATAATACTTTAATTTCGTTTAAAATTACTAATTTTAAATTTAAAATTTTATAGAAATATATTCACCCTTTAAATTTAAATTATTAAGTAGTTGCGAGTTGTTAAAATCAAAAAACCAATTATAAGAACTATTTACGTGTTCAAGATCAAAAATATTATTTATTATATAATTTGGTAAGCGTATTTTGTAATAATTGTTTCCATAAATTTGAAAACTTACAATTATCTAATCTAGGATTGAATTGTAGCATTTTTACCTAATAACAGTTCAATATGCCCAATAATGGAGGTTTTTATATATGACTAAAAAAATTTTTTTAATATCTTATTCAAAAAACTAATGATGCTAGTAAACTAAACTATACACATATCTCTGGTTAAATACAATAAATATGATACTTTCAAAGTAGTTTTGCTTAGAATAATTGATAAACACTTAGATGCAATAGATTTTCTATATGTAGTGTTTTCAAGCATTTTTAAAAATATGGATGTATTAAAAAACTTTTGTAACACATCTTCAGCAAATTTAATACAGTGCAGACAACCTAGTCCTGACAAACAAATTTGACTGATTTCAAAATGCTAATCCTTGTTAATAAAAACAATAAACAAAAATTCTCTTCATAGAAGTTAAAACCATACAAGCTAAACATTTTGATGGTTTTAAATTTTTTTTAAATTTATTTTAATTAAATAGTAAAAAATTAAAATCGAGACAATTTTATAATTAAACAAGCAATTTGACCACTTAAAATATACTATTAAACAAGCAATTTGGCTACTTCATCAGTAATTTTTTTGGGTAATAAGTGTCGATTATAATCTAAAAATATTAATCAATTAGTAATCTACCATTGTAAGTAATTGATATAGATTAGAAATCGATAATAATCATATATATAATAAAAATTGATATAGATAAAATCAATAGTTATCATTTATATGATAAATATTGATAAAAATTAATATAGATAGAAAATGATAGTTATCATTTGTGATAAAAATTGATTAGATAAAAATCAATAATTATTATTTATAATAAGAATCAATTTAGAAAAAATCAATAGCTATCATCATCAGAAAATTTTTTAAGCTAATAGGTTATGATTACTAACAATTAATCGATTATTATCAATTAAATTTATTCGATAAGAGAACAAATTCATGAACTCTTTCTGACGATCTCTTGGTCAGCAACAAAATAAACTGAACTACAGAAAAATGTTATAGGAAAGCAACAAAGTAGACACAATGATACTCTTGGTCCATACAAACAAACTTGCTGTTAACGAAGCTACCACATACATGAAACACCAAGAAGCAGATGTATAATAAAGAGCGGGTTGTGTTATTGAGTCAAGCTTTTTAGTGGACTCCCTCGCACTTTCGGCATCCAAACCAGAAGGGTTATTCTGGAAGCAATGTCCCTGTGGGTCCCTGGTTAAGAATATCTAGTGAAAACTCAGGAACTGGATTATACAACTATAAAACTTACAAGAAGAAGCTCACATACTCTCGTTGACTCACCACTTTTTTTCAAGAAAATTTTTGTAAAAAGTGGGCAATTTAGTTTACCCCTTCAAAAGATCAACATCACGTGCACCAAAACAGTCGGCATTGTTTATTTCCTAAATCGATATAACGGGACAACAAACACGTCAAAGCATGTGCCTTGAATGTAAAAGCTGATCAAACAATGCTCCGAGACAATCTGGATCGAGTACCGCCTCTCTACCTAATCCAGTCGAAGAAGTGTTTATCTGATGGTGTTTTAAACTTAGATTGCTAAATAGATAAATTTAAAGTAGAGATATAATTTATTTAGTATAGTATATAATTTTTAAGGCCTTTCACGGACCTATAAACATGACATTAGGATAGTCATTCTTTTTGTTTTTGTTTCGATATTTCCTTTCTCTTTTATTTTTTTGCTTGTATCTTTTATCATTATTCTCTATACCTCTGTGTTCATTGTTTATCTGTTTTTTTTTTTAGGCTTCTTTGTGAAGCGTGCAGCTGCTCCAGCTAGTGATCATTAGAATCAAATCCTTAGATAGTTGAGGATCCAATATGAAGCATAATGCTGCTAGGCAAGTCACACCTGGGCCTTAGTGCCGAGTAGTGTTCTGAAGTTCAGTTCAGTTCAGGTTCAGGTTCAGGTTCAATGAACCTAAACCTGAACCTGAACCACAAATTTTGCAGATCATTGAACCTGAACCTGAATTGAACTTTGAATTTATGAACCTGAACTGAACCTGAACTTAAAGTTTCGGTTCAGTCAGATTCAGTTCAAGGTTCATGAACATGTTCAGATTCAGTGACAAAACATAGTAAATAGTAAAAATATGTTTACTAAATATTTTTTGTTTTTAGAATTTCTGAATTTGGAGTTTTTCAACCAAGCCTTTTTTTTCTAAGTAAACCTTTTTTCAACTTCTAATAAAAGTTGTAAAGAAGTGTCTTGTGATCAAAATGATAGTTAAAACGTTAAAATCGGCCTAGTAAATCGCAAGATATAAGTATTTTTGTCTTCGCGATTATATGTTTTCTTCTTTATATAAATAAAGAAGAAAGGATATAGTCGTGAAGACTAAAAATACTTATATCTTGCGATCTACTAGGCCGATTTTAACATTTTAACTGTCATTTTGATCGCAAAAAACTATTCTACAAGTTTACTTAGAAGCTAAAAAAAGATTTACTAAGCAAATATTTAAGGATCACAATATTTTTTATAATTTTATTATTAAATAATGAACAATAACCTAACCCTAATCATAACCTATACATTTCAGTTTAATACTAATCTAACTCTAGACTTAATATATTCTATCTTTAAATCTTGTTCTAAACTTTAACATACTTTAAACCCTAATTTAGCTAACAAAAAACCCAACAAAATGCAAGACCCAACGAAACATAAGATTACAAAATACAAGACCCAACAAAATACAGCACCCAACAAAGTAAAATCTAATAGTACAAGACATGATAAAGCAAGACTCAATGAACAAGGTAAGACTCAACGAAGCAAGTTAGACTAACAAAGATCTGACAAAGCAAGATCCAATGAAGAAAAACCAAAGTAAAAACTAACAAAGACCAATAAAGTAAGACTCGATGAAACAAGCCCAAAAAACCAAACCTGACAAAGCAAGACCCAACAAAATCAAACCCGACGAAGCAAGACCCAACAAAATCAAACCCTATAAAGCAAGACCCAATGAAACCTGATGAAGCAAGATCCAATAAAGTAAAGCCCAAAGAAGACCTAGTAAAGCAAGACATGCACAAGAAGTGTTAGCTTCATATAAAGAAAAAAATAACAGTATACTAAAAGCACCTACCACATTCCAAATTCCAGATTCTAAATCCAATGAAGAAAATAAAAAGGAAGTATTGTTAGTATATTAAACAATTATCAAAAAAAGATATCATGTTATTAATTTTGTCCATCAATGCATTCGGGTTTATGAACTTGTTCAGATTCATGAACATGTTCAGTTCATGAACATGTTCAAAGTTTATGAACATGTTCAAGGGGTATTCGTGACCCCAAACTTAACAGTCGGTCGATCGAGATGTCACACAGATCAGGTGATTAAATTTTTTACTATAAAATTTGGGTGATCGCCACTCGATTTGTGTAATTTATGAAAATCATAAAAAATTAGGTGTGATATCTCAATTGACTATTAAAATTTAATAATAGTATCTACGTACTGGCAATTCAGCAGTGATAATAATGTTTTTTTAAACTAAAAACCTGCTAGCCTATATATAGTAAGAAAACAAGAAAATTACAAATTAATTATTTTTATATATAGCATTCATTCC